TGTCATAATAAAGAGGCGCAACCCTCGACAGGCACATCCAGGTTTCTTATAGCAAATAGGGATTGCTTAGGCCAGCCAAGCGATCCATGGATTTCATTTGGTTGTTGTCACGTGATGGACCCCGATGGATCCAGAAGGGATCCAGTAGAACGAAGGTTCTATGTAAGACTGGCACTTCTGCCATTAGATAGGAGCTTCGTGCTCAACTTAGTTATCAATCTTGTCATATTAGTTTGACATCTTTGATACAAGTAACGAGTTCACTTCCAAGTGAACAACCCGATAGTCTTCTTCTTATCATAGCATACCAACCAGCGAACACCCAGCCAAGTTTAGTTAGCCAGTTTGAGTATTCGTTACATACTATAGATTCTAGTCCTTACTTAAATAGAGCTTTAGATGAGAGTTTAATAAAGAAGTATTGATATATACTATAATAATTAAATTAAAGAAGAGAGAAAGAGAATCTTATTATAAATTCGATATTTAGTATTATAAGAGTAATATTTAATATTTACTAATATATAGTAAAAAATAGAATTAAACTTTAGATTAAAATTTAGATACTAGACTAGGCTTATAACTATAAGTTACCTTATAGTTATTCGATTATAGTAGGAATTATAATAAGTTTAGAAAGTAAAGAGTAAGAGTAATAAGATTATGAAAGAAGTAGTCATCTTAAGTTAAAAGCTTACTTAATTATATAGGAGGGAGTACAAGTTTATATAGTACTAGCGCGCATGTCTCTCGGCTAATACCTAAAGAGGCTCCACTACAAAGGAAGTGGAGCGCCTCTCGTGACCTGCCACGTGACATGGGCTTAGTGGAGATGGAGCTTCTTTTGTTGTGATAGGATTATAAGCAACGCCTGCGCTCACACATAGATAGGTTTACAGGTAGTCACACAATCTCCCATATGTGTTACCGATAAACGCACAAGGAAGCAAGAAAGCAACCTGTAAAGGCTTCGAACTTACCCGTCAAGCTGCTGTAATACAGTGATGGTATGAGCTTGATGTAACATCGAAGAGGGTTCCACAGGATACTTTGCACTTGTGTCCAGCTGTTACCACCTCCCTTCTCCAAGCCCTGTAAATTGCCATCAAGGTTCCCTCTTGTGCTTTTCAGCCACCTATCTTGTATTTACTCCCAGCTGAATGCCAACACAAGTGTCCCCAGCAGATTCCAAATTACCATGGCAGCCACAGTCACCAAAGGTACCATCATTCTTACAGGAGCAAATGGTAGCTTGGGAAATGCAATTGCAAATCAAGTTGCTTCTACACCCGAGTATGCGTCCTACCACGGCATTTACACTGTCAGAAACGCCTCAGCGGCATCAGTTTTTGGTTCCTCAACAACTCATTCTCACGACGTTGTCTCGCTAGATCTGTCCGACCTCAATAGTGTACGCCAAACTGCTGAAGCTATCAATGTCCGCATTTCAACTGGTCAGATACCGCCAATCCGCGCCCTGATTCTTAATGCTGGGTTCATGGGCTTTAGTAAACAGTTTTGGAACAAGGATGGGCTAGATGTCACGTTTTGTGCCAATTATCTGGGTCATTGGTTGTTGACACTACTCTTATTAGAGAGCATGGATAAAGAGTCTGGACGAATTATTTTGATAAGCAGCCAGGCTCACGAGTAAGTCCTCCGCCCATACCAAAGATACAACACAATCTTTCGATATTAGGGCTAACGCGCTGCACACAGTCCCCACGACAAAAGAAACGACCAAACCAAAGCATTCATAGACAAAAAATAACAAAAGACCTCCCAGACTGCGTCACCTTCGAAGCTATCGCCAAAGGCACCTGGAGCTCCGCCCACGAAGACCCCTCATGGCGCAGTGGCTACCGTCGCTACGGGGCCTCGAAACTCTTCCTCCTCATGATGATTTACGAACTACAACAGCGCATGGATCAAGAGCCCTTACTGAAGAACATCTGTATTCTGGGAGTCGACCCCGGGACCATGAGTACCGGAATTCAGCGCCACGCCCCATTCGTCATTCGCTTGATTTTGTTCCGAATTATTATCCCTCTTCGTGCTTGGTGGAGTCCGGATGGACCTATTAGGACGACGCGGATATCGGCGATGCATGTTTTGCGTGCTGCGTTTGAGCGTGATGGGACTTTGGGGGCGTTCCCGAAGGCGAAGTACTTTTATGGGAGGGAGGCGTTTGAGACGTGTGGGGAGGCGAAAGATGCGCAGGAAAGAGAGTGGGTTTGGCATGAGAGTGTTCGGTATACGCAGCTGAAAGAGGACGAGACAGCTCTAAGTATTAGATAACTATCTATGATCTGAGAAGTGGTCTTAGTCGAAGTACAATTTCAATTTTGCCATGATTGGTCAAAGTTGAGATCTTCATTTGCCCGATATTTCTGGCTTTACCTCTCTCACAAACAGATACTAGATACAAAAGATTAGACTAAAGTTATTTAAGTCGACTCTATTACTCTAACAAATGGGAACTAATAGTATTAAAAGAAATGTTCTACCGTTCCTGGAATGTCACGTTAAATTCGCTCAAATTAAGCGAGTCGAATAGGGGTCTGGTGGGGTGGAAACAATCGAAGGGTTGGATCTCGCATAAAAATAAGACAAGCTTAGCTCTCGAGTATTGCTACTAAATGTTAGAAGGTAGGAGTATAATACAAGGATAAAGTAAGTATAGAGATAGAAGCTAGCTAGGAGGCGAGAAATGCTCTAATATGCTATCTAGTCTGCTATAAATGTCCGGAATAGGACTGGAATCTTCTATAGGGGAATATACTAGTACTAGATAGTAAAGTCAAGAGTGCTCGTACTCTAGTAGAAGTATACTTATATAGTTCTCGGTAAAGTTGAAGGTAGTTAAATAACCTCAGGTCCAGTGCTTTTTTTTCCATTGACAGCTGCTTCAAGGACATGATAAACCTCTCGTTGGTTGTATTTCATTTGCTTGGATTTGGGTAAGAGAGTTTTCGACATGAACAAGCGTGAACGAGCTTTTTCACCTCTTTCTTTCGTGACAGGATATCATAAGGAGCGGCTTCATCTTATGGTGTTCTAAATCTCCCGAATTTCTCAAGCTCTGCGCCAATTCTATAGATTTTGTGTGTGCATGTTCGCCATAATGAGCTTGAGCAGCCACTTGAGGCAGGTATCTGTTATTTGTCATCGTGTGGTCTGCTTATAAGTGAGCTCAAGGGGCATGCTTGCGCAAACGGGAACTACAATACCACATTTGTAACCGCGCATTCGCCAGACCAGACTGTGAGGCTGAAAGCTACGGTATGCTGACCAGATCTCAGCTATATTGACTATCAAGTACTTAGCTATATGTGTTGCTAGTCTTCCCCCGACCAAGGAAGAAATGTGAAATTGATCAAGTGAAGAATCATGAAAATAAAAACTGAGCAGAAATTGACAGAAGAAATAACTGATGTATAATCATCGGCAACTGAGGCCCATTTTAAGTATCATGAATTGGAGGGATATGATGACTGGCTCAAGATGACGAAGGATTAGTGTAATACTCGAGTACATAGCGTTTATGCAGGTATTAGGCGTTCCGGGAGATTGGGCAGTGAGCATACAGACGTCTAAATGTTTAACTGGTTTCTGCATTCCTACGTACGTAATTCATGGCAAGCTTGGCCATCTGCGTATGGAGGCTGTCCATGGGTTGAGGCTCTGATCACCAAAAAGAAATCTGAAGTAGGCTGGGACTGGAGCATACATCACAACCTGGCCTTGAGATAAGAACCGTCCTTAACGAAGACGAGGTAAATGTAAGACTTCAAGTTGGGGGTATGTCTAAACGTCCGGGATGTTGCACTAATCTCAGAACATCTCAAGGCGTGGAGGATGAGAGGGGGAAGAGGGCTGGGAGAAAATTTACAGGACTCGAAGAACTATACAGTTCACTTTGATGATCCAAAATTTATCGATGCAAGACTGAACAGCCTCTCTCACAAATACGGTCTTGCTTTTGATGCCAGTGATAGCATGTATTATCGCGATCGCTTTTCATAGCAAACATGCTGACTGGTATAAGAGCAATCCTTTGAACGAAGACTCCAAATTCGGACCAGTTTTCGAAACGGTGTCATTGATAGCCTGATATATTTCACGAGCACAGTAGAGAATGATGGCTTGATTGATGGTACATCGTTCGAAACAAGAAAGGGGGCAGATCAAGCCATAAATGAGCTTTTGGATCAGATTGAGACTCGAATAAGCTATTCACGGGTTTTTGAGTTCAACAGATCCGGCAGATATCTTGCGCCGATGCCACCGTGGTCGGACTCCCCAGTTTCTCTGCCAGGAGGCGTGGCTCGAGACGAAAACTCATCGGCCCATAAACGAATAGCAGCACCTCCGAGAAACAGTCCATACATGTCAGGGGTAATCTAAGATTTGTCTGCGACCAGTGAAGGGGAGGAAAACAGGTCCCAGGCTGTGCTGCGAAGAACAGCGTCAACATTGTCGCAGGTATCACTCCTGAGGTCGCGAAGGGACCAACTGGCATCCCCGAATTCCCCTATTTCTGTTGTAGAAGCGAGCTGCACCTTAAGCGAGGACCAGATGATGTTGTAGACGAGGCATAAGCGCATATTGGCAGGTTGCGAGACTTGGCGACGCTGTACCTTCCACTGTATCCTCATGATGCCCCTTTGCTACTATTGCTACAGTGGGAGACGGATATGACAAGATATAATGACACCGCCATCACCGTCCTCTGATTCCTGAAACGCCTGCAGTATTGTATGGTGCTTACTTACATCTCGACAACTCGGAAAGAAAGTTGAGGTACTTCAGAACCCCTCCGAGGTTCATAGGAACACCAGTAGTCCACCAAAGTATGTGCTTGATTCTAAGAGGAAGGGCAGAGATGTCGTTGTGGATGTGGTATATACGAGGGTAGTTGTAGATATGTGGTGCATGTATTGAGTTTGAGTACTGTACTCAACTCGCCTAAATATCTTGGGTCGGAAAAATGCACGCTCCGCTCCGGACAAACTTCCTTCAACCCCTCCCCACCAAGGATGCGCCGCGCTCTGAGGCACCTACATTTCAACCCCTCGCCCTAGCTCATTGACTTCTACCGAGAATCATGCCGCCAAAACTTCCAGTCGCAACATCTAGATTGACATCCTTAACCCGTCAGCTCCCCTCATCCTCCTCCGCCTCCCGATTACCCAGTCTTTCTACAATGGCAGCCAAACCAGCCAGGCGTTTAAGTAGAAACTCCTCCCAAAACTTCAAGAGTCACACTGACAATCTTGCAGCGCACCCCGCGCTCTTGTTCGTCCTCCCCATATGATTGAAACGATATCACTATGTGGCATACATGCGGTTGGTTGCCTTGATACTGACTGAGGATCATGCAGCATCTGCGATATCCAGGAGAAATTTCGACCTGCGATATCTGAATATGACAAAATGTACAGTCTCCTCTTTCTCTGCGCGGCTGCCAGATATCACAAGTAACTCGTCTCCTCAGAATAACCACCACCCAAAAAATGCTCAAAGCAGCCTCAATACTCAACATCCCCGTCTACGCAACCACCCAAAACCGCGCTCGACTGGGAGAAACTTGCACCGAACTCCTCCCCCTCCTCTCCAGCGCCGTAGAACACGCAGAAAAGAAAGCCTTCTCCATGTGGATTCCTGACATAAGCAGACACTTCTCCTCTTCGACGCCTTCGGAAATTGTCATCGTGGGCATTGAATCGCATATTTGTGTCACCCAAACGACGCTCGATTTGCTGAAGGAAGGACACAAAGTGTACATACTTGCGGATGGAGTTAGTAGTTGTAATAAGGAAGAAGTGCCTATTGCTCTGGCCAGGCTGAGAAGGGAGGGTGCCGTGGTTACGACAAGTGAGAGTTGGATTTACGAGTGTATGGGTGATGCGGGGATTGAGGAGTTTAAACAAATTGCGGGTGTGGTGAAGGAGTATAATCACAAGACCAAGGAGGTTTTGGGGAGTTTGTGTAAGATATAACACGTTCGGGGTGGGTTCGGTTGGCGCAGGAATAGATTGCGATTGTTTAAATAGTACATATTGGCGCGAATTTAGAATATACATTCCTTTTTACTTGAGGTAGGTTATTGGCTTGGGTTGGTGGGAATGCATTGGAAGAAAATGATGAATCAAACTAGAACCTGAGTAACTGAATACTACACTCACTTGGACTGTTTTTCACAATTACTTGGCTCACTCATTTCTTTGTGGGCTTCGAGATCATGCAAGCATACGGGCTTCAAGACGCAATTCTACAGCTAGTACAGCGGATGCTGAGGACCAACAAACCCACAAGATTGCGACTCGTCTCTCTCAAAGACCTCTGTATCCCTCTTAGCATTCTTCCACGAATTTGTTCGTATTATTTGCTGATACGCCGACTCAACTTTTTCCCGGACCTTTCCATACATTCTCGTCCACTCAAGTTTATGAAGATTCGCATCCTCAGCATCGATAGCAGTAACCTATTTCAATATCAGTACTTGCTCCATAATTCCCAGAGCATAGCTGGAATCATCTTCTTACCCAGTTCACTACTCCTCCTGCATTAGTCGCTGCCTTCAGTACAGGCAGCTCAATCCGTCCCCAAATCGACCACATCGGAGGATCATTAATATTCCTGTGCATAACAGCTGCCAGATCCGTCGACATCATCGCAAATGCCCTCGACATGTTTTCGAAGTATATCAATTGGGTATCTGGGTTCGACATGATGCATTTCAGTGGGTTACTTCTCGTCCCAATAATTTGGTAATTTTCGCAGGGCCAGACTTCCTATTGTGAAAACATCAGAATTTTCTGCCAAATCGGAATGGAAGGACATACCCAGATCGTAACTTTATTCGCCTCCTGTTTCGCAAACGATCGTGCTCGTGCGGAAAGTCCTTGTGTATAGAACAATGCATTGGTTATCGACATTGCCTTCCATTCCGGCTTAGTATTGGAAAGGAACCACTACCATCGATCAATGAACATCCACGCTCATCAGTTCCCCCAAAAAAGATACCATACCTCAGTGGAATACTTCGAGATATCCTCACATTCATACCTCGACGCGCGTACAACCGCAATAAAGGTCAGAACTGTTGATAGCAATGTGAACCTCATTTTTAAGCGCCCAGCGTTTACAAGAATCGAGAATGTGAAGTCATGAGAGCCTGAAACATGGGCGTGGGCTGGTTTTATGTATGGTTGCTGTGGGCTTACTGTTACCATAAGACCTAAGATGCAGCTGTGAGGCGGGGATGGGGCTGTGAGTTGGAATCTGGGGCCCAAAATAGTATTTGGGGGCGGAAAATTGGCGAGTTGGGGATACAGTATATCCTCGTTTATATCCTTTGGAAAGTGACTCGACCTAGTTTCCTAGCAACGGAGTTTACTGAGTGAACTCTAGAGTACAAGTATTGTATGAATTTCTCTAGATACTCTTCAGTATATCGTCGAGTAAAATGAGAGAAAGCGGTTAAATTATATTTGGTGTTAGACAGGACTTGTCTCGTTTCTGTAAAGTACGAAGGAGACACGGCTCTATTAGTAGAATATACCTGCGAAGAGGTGAATCGACCTTTTCATAATTTCGTTTCACGTATATTCCAAAGTTACAGCAATAAGTGGGCTAAATTCAGAGGACTCATCAAGAGTCTATTGCTCGCTTATCTTCGAAGTTGATTATTGTAACATGATCCAGCACGCCAAAAGCACCTTCATTCAACATCCTTCCTTGAAAACTAAATTAAGTCTTCCTAGGCCTGCTTCCCGTTTCAAGAAGATTTGACCGCATGTAGTAAGTGTACCGAACGCACTAGAAACGGGACAAACTTTATTCAATACTTGATCTGCCATAAAGCTCATCCTACGATTATCAAGATGTCCCTCAATGTCATCCTAAGAAAAGTGCAAAGTTAGCAGAGTAATTCCGGAGGCTTTCTAGAGGAAGGCGAACCTCGTTGCACTGTATTTTAAGTTAGCATTTGGTGTTGCAAGCAAATCATGAATTGAATGAAGACAGTAAAGAGAAACCCAATCCAATTTGAGAGAAAAACACTCACAAGAAAAACACCGGAAGCTCCTTCACATGCCACGAGAGTACATCCTTTTGCAGGTATGTCATAATTGATCGTATCACCATTTATCTGGCTTAGTACGGCTTTTCTTATGGTATCATAGTGTGTTGGCTACCAGTCTTGGCCAGGAACCGGGCAGCAGTAAGGATCACCCTTTTGTAATTAGTTTGCATCATGTGTACGCCTGATGATTAATTACTTGCCATGATTTTGAATGCACTTTCACGGATTACATGTGGTCCCTCACGTCGTGTAGCCCCTGGATGACCACCTCCAAGTTCTCTTCTAAGAGGACAGTACTTGTGACCTGGTGGTAGATCAATATAGTTAGTATTTGAAAAATACGTGTGGTAATTCCTGCGGTAATTCAGATCATGGAGACCTACCAAGCTAGCGAAGACCCAAAGCAGGGCAACAAGCATGTGGGAGAGTGGCATTATGATGTGTCCAAGGGTTTGTTTAGGCCTTAAAGATATTCAGTCTGTTGGATCCGCGATTTTTTGTGGTGGTATGTGTATGTAGAAAGTTCGAAGAGCGCTTCGAGAGTTGGCAAGTTGAAGGGGTTTAAATACTCAGGTGCGCTCTAAAAATAGGTGATTGCTTCTCAAAATCCCTAGCTCTGCTGAAACGATTCAAGTAGCAATTAGTATTAACGCTATATTCACCACCGTTATTACACGAGTTCATATGAGTGTAATGTAACATGTCGTTAGCCATAGTTTGCTCAACTAGGTTGGAATTTGGGAATGATGCCGGATATACGAGGATCCGAAACAAGTTTATACTCCGTACTCTTGAAGCAAGACCTGCCCCCAAAGTGAAGTACTTTAGAAGTTTGGTTTAGGACCAGAAATGGAGATGTCACTAGTGTATGTCTTACAACGAGCTTTTTTTTAGATTACACTATAATGATCTTTGCTTCATTCCCCTCCTATTTGAGTAGTGTAAATAGGCCAAGATTAAGTCAAAAAGGCGGTCATCTTAAAACAAATAATAATATCATTGAACCCTCTTCTTCTTTGCTTCCCTAATTCACTTTAGCTTCAAACCTAGGGTGTTCTGTTTAACTTTAGAAGCTAGGCAGTGTTCGATTTCCCTGAAATCGGGGCTGAGTTTGTCCTATTATAGTACGGCAGAGTCTGGAAAGAGCCTGAAGAGGCTCATCAATTAAAACTTGTAGATCATACTTTGGTGAATTATGAGAGTGATTGGGCTCCATACGGAGCAGATAGCCAAATTGAATGCCTTTACCTATGGAAGATTAGTATTCAGGTCGTCGGTTACTTGGAGGTTCCCAAGCGAGTATCTTACAAGTAGAGGATCAATAATCAAGAGAAAGCACATCAGTAGAAGAGGCAGGAGCACAAGAGTTGCTACAAGATTTATACCTTTGTGAGAAAGGAGGCATGCAAGAAATCTAGGCGAGGCAAATTAAACATCTCAAAACAATCACGGGGATCACAGAGAAGTGTTTAAAGGACATGTCAAGAATCCATCGTTTACTTGTATCCGGAATTAAAGTGGTCCAAAGTTATCCAAACCGTCCGGTATGAAACATGACCCAGCACGTTAATTTGGCTGCAATCCTTTATCAAAAACAACGACCAGAATCCGACCTTACTCACATGACCCTTGGATATAAATATTCATGCCGTCGCCCTTTCGAAAGATCTGGCCACATTCAGGCGGTGCTCCCGTAACATTTTTACACAAGTCAAGTTGCGCTTCCACATAATCTGCAATGGTTCCGGCATCGTAGTATCTAGGAACAGGATCCAGGGAAACATTTAATCAGTTTCGTTCCTAATTTGGTAAATTTCTGGAAGGAAGATACCTCATTGGACACCCAAATTTCACTTTTTCCTCGACAAGCGACTGGCATACAGTCATGTTTCAAACCAGGTCCAGTTGGTGGGTAATGAACTCCTTGCGCGGATTTGTACCTGTAGGTGGCAACGATTCCTCTGATATCCTCCTCATTGCCTTCAACCCAGCTATGACCAGGGACTGGGCAACAGAAATATGCTCGCTGCTTCCTTTAGTTGGACTTGTTTGTATATTGTGATATGTTATCATGTCAATACACTTACAATATCCACAACGCCTCTTTGATAGGATTTCTTTATGGACGAGCAGGTCAAATCATCGTTCTCGGCAGCATCTGTCAACGAAATCTGACCAAGTGGGTTGCTCATGACCTTATTGAAGAACAGTAATCAGTCATCGTAAGATACACAGGGATATAAGCTAGGTGAACCCACAAACGTAGTGAAGGCCAGCACAAGGACATTAAAAATGCCTAAGAGCAACATAGTTACGTGTTTGACTTTGGTTAGCCTGTGGCTTGGAGGTAACGAGAATTGCCTGTGCTTTGTGTGTTGGATTTGTTGGTTGCTTAAGTAATGTGGTTTCGTCTAAGAGGTTGGGGGATGCCGCGCAAGATGACAGGCCTCGCAGGCTTAATATAAATTAATATGGAGATAGGGAGGTTACTGCTTATGAAGATTGCGACTCTTCTTGATTGGTTATTACAGGATTCATGAATAAGCCACTTTCGCCAATACAAGTCCATCAGCTTCACAGGAAGAGAAGAATTCACTGGTGATAAGTAGCCACGCTATATTTAGTATGTTGTTGGCGATTAAGAGCATTCAAGTGGAGGTATAAATGACCACTTCGTCGATGCTGGCGAACATTGGTGAACCCGAAATTTGGATTCTATATTGTATCATTCCTCCAGCAGATCTGGATTAGAAGGTCTCGGCATTAGTAGTCTTCGCCTGAATACTCCTGTATATGCTGAGCGATACCTGCTATAGTAACAAAAGTATTACACTGATGTGTTAAAGAAGACCCCGAATAAACCGATACTATCTGCTTCCATGAACCAAAGAGTTTCTTCCTGAGAAATGGTGATTTTAGAGTCCGCTTTAAAAACATCTCAGGAAGCTCATCAGAGGATTTTTCACACGCATGTGTCATCGCACATCCCCAAAAAGTGTCGAATACCAAATTTCCAAGGTTTTTGGAGCTATTAGCCGCTCTTGAACCCATGCTCTCAGACATAATGTGCATTGTTGACATTCAAATCCAAGATATCATCGTGCGGAAGAGCCATGATTTGTCTTTCCTTATCATCTCTGTTGAACCGTGGAAACCACTCATTTCATTATTTATACATGTATTTCATTATTTGCACTGTTTCCGCATTGGGATACTACTCCACTCTTTTTACCCCTATTCTCATATATATACTCTGTACAATAACTGCTTTACAATTCAATCAATTCTACATGACCTACTTGACCCCATACCTTGGAAATCCAACAATCTCCATCTACACTTACTTGAAATCCTCGTGTATAGACAGAATCTCGTGCAAAGAGATCACCGTCCTCCTGGTACTGCTACCTCTGCAGTATTTGTAGTTTACAGTCCATAAACACCCCTCATCAAAGCAGTATCTTGCCCCCAATCTTGATATCTGACATCAAAATGTGCTGTCGCCAGTTTTAATGTCTGGTCCATTCCCCGGTTGGCCTGAAATGGCAGCACAGAATGAAGAAATCTAGAGCTGAGATCAAATATCCCTTTTGAAGTCTATCTGAAGTCTGCTAGAGAGTGTTTTCATACCATATCCATGTTATTACTTTGCGAGAACGAGATTAAACTTGCCCCCAATATCCTCGCTTGTGATCTTTCTGCAACAAACATATCAGATGGTTCCAATTGGTAAAGCCTCAAGGTCTCTTTTCAGAAGCAAGGTCTACCAAGATCACAATTCAAGGGCTAATCTGGCAGGCAATTGGTTCTTTTAAGTCTTCTGATATTTCATAGTTTTGTTAGCATAGCCTCTTCTCATAAGTAGCGTGGTAGCAAGGTTCTGGGTATTCTGCAAGGTATTTTGTATGCGAATTTCTTGATTCCACAGGTACGTGGGTAGCAAATCGTCCTGCTATCTTTGCAAACGTGCTGTAGCTGTGGACAGTGAGCAAGGTACCATACACGGTGAGACTAAAACTCAATATACGAGTTTGCCTTTCATCTCAAGCATAATTCCTCTTTTTGTTTATCCTAGGAATTGTATCAAACATATACAATGAGGTCCAATTGGTTTCAAAAATTCCCAGTGTGAGATCACGAAAACAGCAAACGCAGGAGCGAAAAAGGAGCATGATCTTATCTTTCTTTCAATTCTTTTCCTTCTAAGACAGATCGTCTTACTCTTGATATCTCAAAAATCTAGTAAACAACGACCAAAAGAAATCAGGAGGCCCTCCAACAAGATTCCGTTACCCACTAGTACACCCTACAATTGAGTAGAAATCCCCTCACTCTTCCTCTTCCCTGCCTCAATCCTCTCCCTCGCCCTCTCATTCCCCCTCTTCCACATCGCAATTCGAACCAAATGCGCAGCATCAAACCCCTCCCTCCACTGCTTCTCCCACACCGGTAACTTCCTCCCCTTCCCATCCGGTTCTCCAGCCATCTCCCTAATCTCCTCAAAATACTCTTCGAACTTAGGATAAATAGCCGTAAACGGGACACCATCGCCTTTCTCTATAATCCTATCCTCTTCCCACTTGATCCTCTCTTCGATAGGGGGAAGCTGGATACGACCAGCAAGATACCTTGCTACGAGAACAGCCTGCCATTCAAAGACTTTGAAGGTAAACCCTGCGGCGATAGCACCGACGAAGACGAGCGTTTCCTCGTGGTGCGGGAAGACGTGTTGGTATAGATTTGGGAGGCGGTTATTCCGGATTGTTGTAGCGAGGGTAGGGAGGAAGGGAAGGGTCCAACTATACCCCGTAGCGAAAATGATATGATCGACGTTCTCCAACGTTGTCCCGTCTTCAAAATAGACCGTCCTGATATTCTTTTCCACGTCCGCCACAACGTGTGTAATCGGTGGTCGACGAAATATGTTAGGATGTTGAAATGCATAATCCCCAAAATAAGGATGATATCTCCCTCGCACCACAGAATGAACGGGTGCCTCCGCAATATCGGCGAGATTGAACGAGATATCCGGGCCTGAGATACTAGCTCCTACAACCACGACTCTTTTGTCCTTATAGACCTCTGGTTTTCGGTAGCTTTTACTGTGTTGAACACTCCCATGGAAAGCAGTCGCGAACGCAGAAAGCCCATCAACATGAGGGATAAAGGGAACATGATAGTGACCACTCGCAACAACAACAGCGTCAAACCTCTCAGTCCACCATTTCTCATCTTGCCCCCCCTCAAGAACTTGTCTTAGAGTAAGGATCCAGCCACCATCTTGGTCTTTCTCAACAAGCTCCACAAACGTCCCATAAGACACGAATTTCTCATAACCCCTCCTATTAACCAGTGATTCAAGATACCCCCTTACCGCCTTCCAATGACGAAATGGAGAATCCTTCCCATGTCTCTCGACATTGAAGGCCGTTCTCTCACTGGGAAACGGTTCCTGGGAAAACTCCATGGCCTGGGCATCGATGTTAGTTTCCAGCGTCGGATAGATAGACGTCTCGTCGAAGCGATAGAGATCACTCCTCTCCTTCACAATTGGAAGAACATCAGGAATCTGGATTTGTTCTTCGGGGTTTCTGGCTGCGATTCTGTCTAAATCGGGGAGCTGCTGTATATGACCTTCGGGGTCATCGATCCTATCAATGTCATTGTTAATTCACATGACGTTCTTATTTCTTATTAAATACAGTATGAGGAGACATACCAACAGCCCCCAGGCCTCTCCCTCCGCTCAAAGACTCGGATCGTGTCAAAGACTTGTTCTTGAGCGAGGGCGTCGATGGATATAAGTCCCGCGGGACCACAACCGATAATGGCGATAGATTTGATGGGCTTCATTCTAACCTGCTGAGACGATTTTGAAATCGTTGGAAATTACTTCGACGCAATCGTAGAAGTTTTCTTCTTCCTTGTCTTTTCATATTCTCAAAAAAGGATGCGGAATATCATCGGTGTACTGTAGCAGATTGAATGTCCCCCGTGGATTTCTTTACGTAACTAACAAGGTACGAAACAGGTAAAGCTAACAAGGCAATCGAGTTCCGTTAGAGTTACATTTTTTTACTAGGCGCGATGATGCGAAAATAGCCGGCGTTCACTCATACTTTAGTTGCAGGCATGGAGGTGGGAGAAGGGACGGTTCCTTTGAGATTAGATAAGAATGCCAGATGCCAAGAGTTCCTTCAAGGTGGGTAGACCAACAATGAACGGCAGGTTTATAATATAAGGTTCCTGTGTTGCTGTAACAATCATGAAAGAAAGAGGATTGTCACACTTGACAATCTAAACACTTTGTCAATTATTATATCTCATGTGCTTGATTACATTATCGCAGGCACGCTTCACGAGTCAGGAGGGATAGAGATTTCGTCTCCAGTGGTATCATGGATTTGTTGTTCTAGAGCAAATACCAGCATAGGCAATATCTAACCAACCTATGAATTCCAAATGACAATCCTGCCATCCACACCACTCGCTGAACAATGTTAGCATTCTCTGATTGCGAGGTTGAATACTAGGTAGGCAAAACTTACTGCTGAACTTCTGAACTGCACCATTGGAACCCTCATAGATACGAATAGTACTAATAGTGTTCTGGTGGACAGTTTTCAACTGGGTATCATCCTTCGTCTTACCCTTCAAGTCCATCTGCTTGAACATATTGAATGCAGATTCTTCTCGCTCCTCGGCTGGTCCGCCTTTGGATTCAAGAGAACCAGTAAGCTGCCAACCCCCCTCGTTACCCTTGAATCGGTACGCCTCGCAGTCATAACCAGCCGCAATAATCTCCGCCTCACCGTTCCAGATGAGACTCATAAATGGTAGTAGTTGAGTACTGACACTGATGACAGCCTTAGGAGGCTGATCAGCACCATTTGGATAAACAACTGTGATGCTGCTGTCATGAGCCGCAAAAGCAAGGGCGTCTCCACTTGGGGAGAAAGAAACAGCATGGACCCAACCCGCTGAGTTATTGAGATACTCTCCGCAAACAGTGTTGAATGGTAGCCGCTCTCCCCAAACTCCAGGGTCTGGTCTAGCGTCTACACCCTTGATAAAACTTGAGAAGACTCTGGCGTGCGCATCTGTTGATCCTGCTGCCAAAAGAACGGAGTTTGGATGCCATGCGACGGTAGTTATGGTGCTTCGGATGGGCTTTTTGAGATGCTTGGATACCCACCAGTCGTTCTCCTCCTCGAAGTAACAGATGGCGATGACTCTAGCGCCGGATCCTACAGCAAACTTGGTCTCGGAGGGCGACCAGCGTACGAAGGTTGCTGCACGATTGATTCGGAGGAGAACGAGAGTTGGCTTGTAACCAGTTGGAGAGGGTTCCCATACTAAGGCATTTCTGTCTGTAGAAGGTTCGTGTTAGTAGAGCTCAAATAGAGAAAAGGGGTGGAATTGGCGAGGAAAGAAATACCTTGCGAGCAGGTCACGATTCGGCCACTTTCCAGCGCAATATCTACACTGGTGACAGTCTTGTCATGTCCCTTTAACTCATCCTTCAAGGCGAACCCGCTGCCAGTTCGTCCATAGAGCTCGACGCTGGTATCTCTCGCAACAGCCAGCGTTTGCTTGTCAGCGGAGAAGGAATGGTCAGCAATCGGCCGGTGAAAGAGCTGATGCACTTCTGGTGGAGCCATTGCGTTGTTATTTTGCGATAGGAGGAGCTCTCTACTATCAGAAGGTGCAGACACAGGGGGTAGGATGCGCTGGGTGTGAATGACGGGAATGGTGGACTCAAGCTCGGTGGTGGGGGTGTACCTTGGTATCAATATTGAGGCCTTGAATGTCGGGCGCAATATATTTAACTAGTTTATCAAGTCAACCTCGAGGCTTAGGAGAGCTCCCCGCAACCCCCCCCCCTTCGTTCAATAACAACCTGGAACTTCACAATGCCAGATAAAAAGATACCCACGTACGCGCCGAATTCATCGTGAGTCAATTCAAACGTTGCATCCCGAATTACCACTCTAATTGCCCTAGACTCTACGTCACAAACCTCCCATCATCAAAAATCCAGAAGGAGGACTTGCGCAAGTCTCTATATTCCCTCTTCTCCACATATGGACCTGTACTCGATGTAGTAGCCCTGCGGACGGCAAAGATGCGAGGCCAAGCTCATATCGTCTTCCGCGATGTTCAGACCTCAACGCAGGCAATGAGAGATTTGCAGAGCTTCGAATTCTTTGGCAAAGAAATGGTAAGCTCCTCCAGGTCTCGAGAGACAAGAATTTTATGTCTAATGCGTGTCCATTTTAGCAAATACAGTATGCCAAATCAAAATCAGACGCGATTGCGAAGTTAGATGGAACATTTCATATGCCCTCTGCCGCTGCTGGTGCAGTCACTGCAACTGCCTTGCAACAGAGTATTTTCAATGCTCTACCATCAGCCTTAAACACCACTTCCACGGCCCCATCGACACTAAAGCCCCCACCAGCACCAACAGATCAGACCGTGGAGGATGCCAGAAGCCCAACGACGAGTGTTGCAGGTCAAAAGAGGAGAAGAGACGAGGAGGACGAAGAGGAGGATGGCAGCGATGAAGATGTTGCTATGGAAGAGGACAGTGACGATGATTAGGGCTAACGAAATCGAAGAAAACTTGCTGAAAAAGGCGTTTGGAGTAGGACATTGGATGGCCCAAAAAATACTTCTCAGGTGAACGAAGATACCAGCAGGCAGGCAAGAGAAACAAGCTAAATAATACAAGGTCGAGCCATTTACAGTAGCTCCGTGATTACCGATTCATTTTTGTGGAGAAATCCATGGTCTATTTTTCCCATGAGGCCTGTTATAAGGGGGTATCATATCGAATCTACTCATCCTTCGCCATCTCTGGGGGGATCCATAAACCTACGCAACCACCTACTAATCCGATCCAGACCATAAGGTATTTGTCCAAGGGGATATCAAAGTTCTCCATCGCTTCTTTTGTCTGACACGGATGGATGAAGAAGGCTGGGACATCAGTTACTGGATGTGGCTAAGACGTGAATCAGTATTTCCATTTTGTCACGCGTCGACATTCAATGCATCTGAGAGTGGGCAGGCTGGTGGTTCTCGGTACTTACTGCAGCAGAAATCCCACCTGTGAATCCAGCTGCTCGAAGTTGAGTCTTGTACTCTTGGGGGACGAGATAGCGGTAAACGGAATTCAGATCAAATGTGGGATCTTCCATGGGAAGATCGTGCAAAGTAAACCACAAAGTAGGCATTCTGTAAGTGGGGTGTAGGTGTATTTCATAAGTGACATATGGCTGGTGTGGGTAGAGACTGTAATTTGGAAGGCCATTTGGATGCTGAGGTTGGAGCGCTTCCTAATCATCTTTAGTTGCACGTTTGGTATCAATACAGGCGAGAGATAAACGTGTGACTGCAAAAGCCAAGAGACAATCATCAACAACAACATACATACCTTGTCGGCTTCTTCATTCGAAATATCCATGTCCATTTGTGAATGATCCTCACCACCACTCAAGTTTCCCAGGGCCAGTGATAACTCATCTTCGTCATTGGGGAGCTGTAGGATGCGGAGTATTTCAATGGAAAGTCCACCCGTGGTTGCGGTTCGCCTAGAATTTATTTTGAAGATCTTCCGGGTGGGGCCGAGCTGGGCTCTGATATAACGCTGATCCAGAAAGGCACAGGCGAGATTGAACTCTTCCTCGGTGAGGAATGGCCACTGGCGATATTCATGTTGATGTGACATGTTTATGGTCGACAAGGAAAAAAGGAGAGTTGTGCTTACCAAAGCATCGGCATCGGGGTTTCCTCAGGTTGTATCCGTAGCGCTACGAGTAGGGCTTCTTGGTGGGCGAATAGATCTCTCGCGAGTACATGAGTTTTCGGCGTTTCGCACAAAGAAGCAGAAAGCGCTCGGCTCACGGCTTTGAGTTTGCGGTGCCAGTGCCGTTGGTCAGGCGGCACTGGATGGGATGGCTAGCTCGGTGTTTGATGCTGATGCTGATACTGACTGAGGATGAGTGGGAGACTATTAAAGTCTCTAAGAAAAGTGGTTGATCAAATCCTAAAGATCTACCTATAGGTATTTGTATTGCAACCCTATATGTGCTTGTACTGCAGCTCTATAATTACTAGAGTTGTCCTATGATGGCTGTTAAAGGTCTAGCGTGATAGTGAATCCAAGACAGGCAACTCTAACCTAGTGAATCAGGTCCCTGAATCACGTTCACACACACGTTCACCTAGGCAGGCAGGTCTTGCCGCTTTTGGCAGCAGGCAAGCGCAGGCGGTGCAGTGCGATTCAAAAACTCTTTGCCTGTCGGTCCCTCTTTCTTCCCACTTCCACTTCCATCCCACAAACACCTGCACGTCTTCTCCCACAAGACTCCGCAAACACCAAACCACCACATCAACTACAAAACATCGCCCTACCGCTCCGTTCTGACCATCTCAGAACTCCTCTGCTCAACACCACACCTGTGCCCTCCACACATCCAACGACACCACCTCCTTACCAGTCTGCGCCGTGTGGTCTTCGTCATCCATCTCCTCTGAACCAAATTCTGGCTTGTCTCCCACAACCTTGCCCCCTCCTTCTCGCACTAGGAAGTCGCCCTTCCTCGACCCCCTCAATAATCCCATCAGCCAGTCCACAGATACATCTGCGTTATATGTATCTCACACCCCACGCCAACGACCTCAGACACCAGCCGCCTCTTGAGCTGCAACCATTTCGCATACCGCGGAAACCTTGCAGTCCCTACTTCAGTAGCAACGGCTAAACCATCGCCCCCTACGGAAATCTCACCGAATGCTCCGCTAGCAAAGTCCATAGAAATCCCATCTCCTTGTCCCTTTATCCTCTCCAGATCCGATCGTCCTCTCTGCATGTCACATGTCGCATCGTTCCGCCCAGTAATCGTCACACATAAGATCCGTCTACTACAAGAAATCCGAGTCTATTAAGAGCTATACACAACCGCAATCATGGCGTCCATTATCAATATCCGTAGTGATGTGAAGGATCCCTTCTACCGCTACAAGATGGAGCGTCTCCAATCCAAGATTGAGGGCAAAGGCAATGGTATCAAGACCGTCATTGTCAACCTTAGCAGCGTTGCTGCCTCTCTCGCTCGCCCCGGCGACCATGTCATCAAGTACTTTGGCTTCGAGCTTGGTGCTCAAACCAACTCCAGCCCAGCCGACGATCGTTGGATCATCAACGGTGCCCACGAGGCTTCCAAACTTCAAGATTACTTGGATGGCTTCATCAACCGTTTCGTACTGTGCAAGAAATGCAAGAACCCCGAGACCGTGGTTGTGATCAAGGATGGACGCATTCTCCTCGATTGCAAGGCATGTGGTCAACGCTCCGATGTAGACCTTCGCCTCAAGCTCAGTGGCTTCATTCTCAAGAAGCAGCCCAAGAAGGGAAAGAAGGATAAAGCCGATCGAAAGGCTGCCCGAAAAGCCAAGGAGAATGGAAATGGCGATGCTAAGAAGAATGGACATGGCAGTGGCGGCAATAGCGATGAGAACAACTCCGACAACGGATCTAACGATGCCGATGGGGCCATCGAAGCCGGTAGTGATGACGAGTTCACTCGCCAGGCTCAAGAAATCGAGGAAACTGCTGAAGTCAAAGACGACGAGTGGACTGTTGATATGTCTGCTGAGGCTGTCAAGGCTCGTCAGCAACAACTCCCGGATGACCTCAAGAACAAACTCGTCCTTGGTGATGACGAAGACGAGGATGGAGAGGGTGGTGGAAATTCCAAGTATGATCAATTTGGCAGTTGGCTCATTGCTCAGGTCGAAGAAAAGGGTGGAGTTACCAAGGTTGATGATCTCGAAATCTACCTCAAGGCCAAGGAGTTTAAAATCGAGTCCAAGCACCGTACCCTCACTGTTTTACTCCAAACCATCTTCGACGATAATATTGCCAAGCAAATTCCAAAGCGCGCCGGGATGCTCAAAAATGTAAGTTCATACCAGCTGTGTCTATTTTCACTCGCTAACGAGATCAAAGGTCGGTACATCCGAGAAACACCAAAAGGCTCTCCTCGGTGGCGTTGAGCGATTCATTGGTCTCCGTGGCAAAGAGAAGCCGGAAATGTATGAACTGACCCCCAAGGTCCTCCTCGTCCTCTACAATGAAGATCTTCTGACTGAAGAGGTCATCACCAAATGGGGAACCAAGGCCAGCAAGAAATATGTCGATCCATCCACCAACAAGAAGATCCGCAAGTCAGCTGAGGCCTTCCTCAAGTGGCTTGAGGAGGCTGAGAGTGAGGATGAGGAGTCTGAATGATTTCTTGGATTGCAGCCCTTCAAGTTAAATCTCTAAAGCACGCTACTGCGACAAAGGCTTCTTGGACATGATGCTTCTTTGGCAATATGCTGAATTCCTGTGTGTGGTTGGCTTGTTTTCTCTTTGCTTGATGAAGGAGGATTGAGGGGCTGTTTAGACAGATTTCTGATTGTTTGCTCATCCCCTTTTCTTATACCTTTTGTATTACCTACTCTACTCATTCCTTCCTTCGCTTTTTTCCAAAAGTACAAAAAAAACAAAAAATTCGTCGCTAGTTTGCTAGAGTCAGACAAATGAATCAGTTTTCCATTCTCATTTGGTATGGTGTTTGATATTATGAGTGATGTGAGATAAGATTGTAAAGTACATGTGTTGGGGTTCATGGTAATGTAAATAATCAAGTCATCTACAGTTTCCTGCCCTACTGAGTCGTATACCTCTTGTTTTGCGATACTGTAATAAATCACGGCCAAGAGTTTAAGCGAAGGGTATTTTTTAATATGCTGGGTTAACCAAGCACTTGAGATTGGTTGAAAGGGGGAACCCTTTTTTTTCTCTTTGTAGGAAAGCATTCAGGTGCTGACCTTTTTCCATTCTTCGTATTGGGTCTTCTGGGCAAAGGCTCTAGTTTCTAGACTCTTACATCTTGTTTTTCTTTTTCGTGAGTTATAGAATTGGGGTTCTCGTTCTCGTTCTCGTTCTCGTTCTCGTGTGGGGTTTTCTCGGTGTGCGGTGTGGATGTTGTATGTTTTATGTCTTAACTAGGGCTTTTGGGATTGGGGTTAGGATAAATGGGGGATGGTGTTTGGTAATTGGGAGATTTATTGGAGGTTATGGGGAGAGTATTCATGGCTTTCCTGTTTTGTGGTGATTAGTAATGGAGCTTGGTACAAGTACTGTAGTTGGATTTGTACTATTAAGCTTCTCAAGTTTTTCTTCTAGGCGAAGATCTTTGAAAATTGAGTATTTGTTGTCAGTTAATATGCTGACCTGTGGTTTCCACCGCACGGAACACGGAACCAACCGACATGAAATGGAACAGGAGTGCCCAGGAGTGTATAATAAAGGAGGGGCATATGCCAGGGCCATATAAGCCTGGCTCCTGTCCACAGTAGTACTTAGCTCTCTAGTCATCTGAATACAACTCTTCTGGCCCCTGGCCTTCCACATATTCCGAACAACAGTATTCTCATAATGTGTTTAAGTGAGGGCCCTTGTTACTGTAATTGTGTGTCTGGGATCTTGTGTTACTTGTTGGTTTACTATGTTGAGAATAACTGTGTGGTTTTGGTGGTGGAAGAAGGGAGGTGGTGAGCTTGAGGGGGATTTTCTAGGACTGGGACGGGGGGTATGTTATAGGAGCTTTTATGTAGCTTAAGGATTGGAAATAGTGTGGATTTAGCAAGCAAGGACGATCGGATGTATTTGTACGATACCTAGGTCTAGGGTTATACTAGGAGAATAGTACTTGGTGTGGGTGGGTTTACACTTGTGTTATATTAGTTATTGATATCTTAATTCACGGCAAACAACAATGTGTTGGGTTTCTGTTCGTTGCCCTGTTCTAAAGGCTATGTACAGACTTAGTTGGTAAAGTATAGGGAGACATTTCCTCAATTCACTACTTGCTGTCATACCTCTGTATGGTAATTCTTAGCAAGCCCCTTCAACCCCCCACAATAGATAATATTATTCTTCAGTTGAAATAAAAGAACTCCCCACGACAAAACAACCAATCAACACCAACTTACGACGTCGCCCACTAAAAGTCTCGAGATTGACGACCTTGAGCATTTGTCTACAACAAACAACTACAAATCTAAAGTGACGACAAGCTCTGGTAAAGATTAGACCTCTTAATTAACCCTTGGGCTGGGGAGAGGTTGAACTTTTTGCTATTTTCTTTTGTTACTTTTTTCTGGGGGTTTGACTTTTTAGGTATGATGAGATTATAGCAGATACAGTATAAGGAGGGTGAATGTTTGTTGTCCTTGGTTGTGGTTCAATATTGTAATCTTAGCATGGTGGCATGAAGAGCCTTTTGAAGTTTTGATGGGTTGCTAAAAATATGCGAAGTATGATTTAAAGCTTGGAAAACTATATAGAATTGTATGTACATCCAGCTTGTTATATTATTACGTAACCATGACCTCCCGTTTTAACCCCTTTTAACTACTAGAAGGCCATCTGAAACCAAATACAAGCTTGTGAGACAAGGTGGTTAGACCTTACAAACCTCTGTATGTGAGAAATCGTGGTTTATTATAACCATCCAGGTTCTTTAGAGAATATATCTCACCTATTCCACGATATCGCTATTTCGTCGAATATCCTCGTCCCAGCGACTGTCAGCCCTCAACAGCAGCGAAGGTTTTCTCGGTGTTGGAATGCGTTGTGCGTGAATATCCAGCTGTTTTCACAAGCGAAGCTCCTCGGCCTTCTCATTTGAATGAAGAACGTCAGCGTCTTCGGGAAACGAGGCTAGCGTCCATCAAATTTGAAGATTGTGTCGAACCTTTGCGAGGGGATGTTGAGAGCAATGGTAAGCCTAAGGGACTTTTTAAAGGTTTATAATTTCTGGTTTGAGACTGGGAATTGCGAGAAGCCTTGGTGAAAGTTGGTTATCTGTGGGGGGTTGGTGGTGTATTGGAGATGGAATTTTGGGGTATGCTTTCCATCTGAGCTTTTTGACCGCACTCAACGATAGGGAAGCCAAAGAGGGGCTTGGTAGAGGTTATAACGATCTCTAAGTTACAAGTTACATACAATATTCCTCGGTTCTTATACACCTGTTCGAATCACACTAGTAGCAGATACATGTATATATGCCCAGGCGAGAGTCGGATTTTCACGGATTGCGGTTAATATCAGACCGCTGTCAAAGAAGGATCTAGGTCCGGGTGTGTTTACGAATGCTGCGAGTTAATATGTTGGCAAGCAATCCCTTGGCTGATACCAAGCAGCTGGACCAAAGGCCCAGCACGTCTCACCCACTTCCTCAGAACCATTCATAGACGTGGAATTTACCTGGAAATTGGCATCTGAATTCAAAAATCACATGCACACTTCCACAAATAAGCTCGCGGCGTTCTCACAGACTTCCTCAGGGGTAAGCTTCTTGATGGCAATATCGAGGAAACCTCTTTCCATAATTTGGGACTACATCAGAATAATGGATTTTGTATATCGAGTCTTGGTGTTTTCGAGCCTAAATCTGGTGGGATGGGCCTGTTGCGGATGTTGGGGTCTCAGATGGGCATATTAGGGCTGCGCTTAGGGGGTACTGGGATGGGTTCTCCGCTGCTGGTGAGGAGTATGGGGATCGTGTTGTTGCTGCTTGGTTTGAGGAGGGCGATATGGTGAGGAGGGCACTTGAAGGGATTGGTGAGAGGGTGATGGGTTTGGAGTGACGAGAATCACGAATTCGAATTGGCACCTACCACCACAACCTCATTTGTATTCCAGGAGCAAATTCAATAAGATTCTAAAAACCCGGTGTCATGGTTTCTGCCTAAGGAAAGGTCCCAGTCTTCAATCATATAAGGGAATGATGACTAGGATTTCGGTGAACAGCCTTGGCTTTTTACATCGATGTCTGATTGGCGAGAGACGACTGTTCCACGCTTGAAGATGCACACCTCAAAATATGCCCTCCGCCGCCCTCCACAGCCCTCGCCCTCTATTTTGTGGGTTTTCTCGGTCGAGACGGATTCCTTCTCTTCCATTAACACCAAATCTCACTTTCTTTCCGAACAACTCATCAATCCTTCTTATCAGATCTCAGCGAAATGAATCGACGCCGGATAGACCACAGTTTCACGATGCCCTTTGCGGAAGAAATGGATATCAGTCACATGACGGGTCATTTTGGGACTAATGGAAAATACTTGTGCAAATCCTTTGCTTGAACCGAATCTCACGTTTCCGGATTTCAATCAAATACCCGGAGTCTTCTCGCCAACATTCATGGATCAAAATATGGAGTTGGACACGGGGCTGTCAATAAATGGAGACAATCCGTTCAACTATGTTATGCCGCCCAATGTCATTAACAACGAAAGCCTTTCGGACATTGATTCAACGGACGCGAGCATATTCTCAGCTGCCATTTCCTTTCAAGCCGATTCTCACTCATCATTTCCTGTCCAGGAATCTATCAAACTAGATCCAATGGTCCTTGAACTTCCTCAGCTCACGTCGAACGAAAGTCAACCTAGGTTGAACCTCCCGTCACTTTCTTTACGTGCAAGTAGAGGATCACTTACGCCATCCAAATCGAATAGGCAGCAAAGAAGACCTACTAAATCTCCTGGCAGAAGCAGAAACCCTATTCATTCCCACAAAACAAGAGCTTCCTCAGCTACAACTCCGTCTCGTGCAATGGCTGGTTTGGAAGCCTCGCTTAGCTCATATTCGGCATCCTCGACATTCAAGCGCAAATCTACCAGGTTATTGGAGCATTTGAAGCGTTTGATTGAGGAGGAGGAACTGTATGGAGATTTAGGTACTGAGGAAGTCATGTGCTCTTCGAGCGCCAGCTCTGACTTAAGCGATATTCTTACCAACTCTGCAGGGTGACTCGCAATCGGCAACATCTTCTCGCTCAGACAATAGAGCTGAAGCCAGGAGCTTCAGATGCTCATACCAGGATTGTTCACGAGCATTCAAGCATTTCTCTGACTGGTAAGATTCTCTTTGCTTTTAAGCTACACCTTCTATTCAACTGCTCCAATAATTACTTCACTTCTCTCTTATCCTCGGTCCATGTTCTCATTTATCTGACATTGAGGTTTTCTAACTGCTGACACTTATATAGGAAGGGACATGAAGAGAATCATTATCCCCAGGAGAGATACATGTGTTTCACTTGTCTGGTACCAGAAGGCTCTTCAAGTTGCACCATCTGCAAAAGCCCGTTCTCAATGCTAGAGACACCTGAGAGTCATCACCGCGCTTGTCTGCAGTTGCATGACAGCTCTAAACACACGTTTGCAAGAAAATATCATTTGAATAACCATCTGCGAAAACAACATGGTCTTGAAATTGCCGATGCGAATGAAGTCTCTGGTGGGTGGAACTACGCACTGAGCAGAAATTGGCCTCATGTTTGCCACCTCTGTGGTGTGAAGTTTGTCACTTGGGAAGAGAGAATGAAGCATATTGCGAAGCATTTCCAGAGGAAAGATGATTCTCTATCACGACCAGACTCTCGCCGTGACGATGACGATGACAGTAATAATGACGATAATGAAGATTTCGACGGTCGAAGCGGTCCTCCTCGCAAGCGAGTGAGGTGGGAAGCAGAAAATTCCAGGAAGGATTCATCTTATTTGACGAATGACAACAATTCACCAAGCACCTACTACAATAATGCAAACGAATCGTGGTATACGCACAATAGCGCAATTTCGAGAACAGCAGATTCAGCCACTCATATATGTCGAAAAGGACGTCAAGGGCGTTCGTCAAGCGAGAATTATCAGCTTGAAATCGCTTCGAAACCAGCTCATCAACCGGAAATGGCCATCTGTGAGCTGCGAATACCATTTGAATTGACTACCGGACTGAGAATTGCCTCGTTACGTGCAATAAAAAAACACTTGATGGTTCAAAATTGGATTTATGACGGAGGACCTCAAAGACTGTTATGCTTGCAAGACTTCGATGACGCCCAGAAATCAAAACTCGCTGTCGGCTATTTGTCCCGCAATAGTAGGGCACTTAGTGATGGTATCTTTTGGTTCGAGTCCAAAGTTGAGCCTGCGGTAGTGGAGAATCTTTGGGACATTGCGTGCCAGTCTGTGTCTTCTCGTCCTGGAGACGAGCCAGATGCTTTCGACTTTGGTCATCCATGGTGGAAGAGGCATGGAGAAAAGATGATACCTGAGCTGCCTCCCAAGTTCTAAGACGGAATCGAGTCGACGGTCTACGATGGTATGTAGCCTCTCGTTTCTGGTTGGCGAACACTCCTTTACTTATTTTTATTTCTTGATTTTGCCACACTGTTTGTCACGGTTTCGACTCCGTCTTACGGTTATCGATTGCTAAATCCTCATATTAGATTATTATCCTCTAGGAGCTGCTGTGGGAAAGGGCGTACAAGATCTCGTAGAAATGCTACTCCTTTATGACTCTGACTACGACGACGTAAACTTCATGGAAAACGGATCATTCGACACCGAAGCTAGTCCTCTCCCTCTACCAGGCACGTATAAAGTGCCATCCAAGCTATCTGAGTATGACCTGGATCCAATCATAAAGATCGAAATGGTACAAGATGTCTTTTTGGTATACCAGGGAGCCGAATTAAATCTCCAAGAACCCAAAAGAAAAAGCCGGTCCGGAGAATATTACAATGCTGCTGCGCACCTTCGACGCCTACATTTCAAAGTGAAGGGGGGTTGGAGTCCGAGAAATCTAGACGGGACGGAAAGAAGACCTGAAAATATTGGTGATTGGCCATTTATGGTTGATTGTGATACCGCGCGACGAAACAGTCGGCAGCCTGTCGAGCCATGGGAGCAGCAGGTCTGCATGCTTCTCAGTGGTCACCGCTACCGGTCTCACATAGAGAAAGAGTTCCAAACAGAGGGTCTGGAGATATCTGAAGAGGGAAAGCATTGGGTGCGCTCGCTGGCGCTCGCACACCCCAATCTTTCGGACGTCGCTGGGTTTTCACCACGATATAAAAAAAGTTTCATAGACAAGAAAACACACTGGCGTTCAATACACCACGAGGACAGGACCGAGCGCCAAACCACTCCGAGTTATCTGCTGGACCCGGAAATCCCCCTTTACAAAAGCTTCTATCCACAACCAGAGTTTTTGCATGAAGGTCTCGTTATAATGGACGAGATATGCGTACGCACACCCACTGCTCTCAGCGTTAGCTCTTTCGCAACAAAGACTCCTTGCGACGCGAGGCAAGCATTTTTGAGTTCCATGATTTTTGTGGAGGGGAATAGAAGTGAGGAAGACACCAAAAGAATGGATGCACAAGTTGAATATTGCGGCGGGGATAACCCAATCTACATTGTTTCTTTCGGCCTGGGTAGGGACACATGGAATCGTTCATTGGAAAATCGGCAAGAATGAGTACGCAACGCAACGGTGTTGCATGCGTCACTCAGCGCTGGCATATAGTGCGAGTAAGAGGTCCATGGGTTCATTTTTTGCTCACCGCCTAAGTATTACTTACGCGGTACGCAGCAATCCTATCTTTCTATACACACGAGAGCTCTTGCCAACTTTCCAGTGCAAGTGAGATGTGCCTCATCTTCTATGCCAAAAGGGAATCGTGTGGTGTGGCGAAACCGGTTCATATTTACGGCATGTTTCTTTTACCTCGGGAATCCTGAACCTTGTCATGTTCGAAGAAAGATAATTTCAAAATAGTCCTGACACCCTCTCGTTCAGTGTTTAATTTAGCGCGGTCGTGTATTTTGATTTTCTGTTTGCGGAATGCGAACGCAGTGAGCGTTTTTGGGCTGATAGGAGATTCTTGGTTGAAAGGATGGTTCAATTTTGCTTCAAATCATATTAAAGACAGAGAATACCAATCAAATAGAACTAAATTTGCAATTTGATGATCAAGAGAAGTGAGATCTGACGACACAAGAAACTTGGTGCTCCCAATATGTCCAGCTAAGCGAGGCCAAAGTGGGTACGGAAGTACAACTGCCAGAAGCAGTCTTGATGATACCACTCTATCTTGACATGTCGGAAAATCTTTACATTATTCACTAATTCGAGGAACCCAGAACGGTGCTATTCTCGAGTCTCTTTGGTGCCTTAAAACTGGCGCAGGCTAGACGCGGGCAAAAAAGTGAAGTTGAAAAGGTTCTTAGTCCCAATATAAAAAATATCGAATTGCTATCTACATGTACATACGAACCAACCATTCATGTACTTTAGGACCCTAGAAAAAGATGGTCGCCCATGTGCCATATCATGCTACCAAAGTAACCATCATCCAAGCATTATCATTCCCAATTCTTTCATATTCATATCAATACCACCCACCCTCTTTACATTGTCATTCCCTGCCTCACAATTCGATGCCTGGCCTCTAATGTCGACGACGAAAATGGAAAATTTTGTTAACGTCCGTCATCACTCAAACTATCCCTTCTCCCTCTTCGATATCCACCACCGCCTCCATGCCTCTTTTTTCGTCTCTCCTCAGCATAATCAGCCACACTTGAACCCGCAGCACTTGACAGTCCAGGAATTGGGTGGTGATAGCTTTTTGTGCCAACGTCACTGCTAACATTACTTCCAATTTCACTCTCAGCATAATCGAAGCTTCCAGGGATCTTCTTTGATGGGCTGCGATTTGCACGTCTAGCTTCTCTCTCCTCGCGACGTGCGCGTCTTGGATCTTCAGAACCATCAACGGTACTATCATCGCCTGCTTGGAAAGAGAAATCACGTCGCTTAGCAGCGCGGCCTTTTTCCTGAAGTCTCTTGGCTTCGGCCTTGATGCGGTCGTGTTCTTCGGTCGAGTGGTCGTTGGTGCTGGATGTTACTGTAGAGTCGCGTTCCCAGAAGTTGTTGGAATTGGGTTTGGATGTGGTGACGACTCTTCGGATCCCGCCGGTACTTGCGTATTTGTCTTTGCGTTCCTTCTTGTATTTAGATGGGGTGCTGGTAGGTGTTCGTTCGCGGTTAGAGAGGAGTTCTGAGGCGGCAGTGGAGTTGTCGTTGGTTGATCCATCCCAGGCACTAGCATCTGATTCCTTGTTGAGACCACCTACACGAGCAGGTTTCTCATGACGATAAGCACGCATAGCGTCCATAACACTATCACCGCCCTCCTCAGCCTCCAACATCTCAGTCTGCTCAGTCATTTCGGATCCCAAGTCGCCACCCCGCAGACGGCTTTCCTTCCTCGCCTTCTTGCGGTCCTTCTTGATTTGTCTTTTCAAGTCGCTCATATCACTCCCAACTGTACTAGTCATTTCGCTATTCTCCTCATCGTAATCCTTATAACGGTTCGATCCCTTCTTGCTTCTACCCCAACGACTCTTCTTCTTCTCGCCATGAACGATACTTCCACCACCAAGATCTGTGCTCTCCGTGGCACCACTAATCGTCGTTCCATTAGGACCCTTCCGTCTCAAGACAGTAGACTTGTAGTCGTCCCAATCATTCTCATGGAAGACGAAACCTCCATTCTTGGCCCAGAAAAAGAACCAGATGCCAGTCACCACAAAGGCAGCACCAATCAACCCGAAGATCGCAAACACAGCTTTGTTTGGAATGGAATCAAATGGAACGACGCCTGAGTCGGGATGTGCCAACCCAGTGTGGTCGGCTCGACGAAGGAGAGGAGAAGCTCGTTTAAGGACATGACCTGGGTCGGGTGCGGAGGGAAGAGTGCGTTTGAGGATGGTGTTGAGGTAATCGCGGATCGTGGGGCCGTAGATATCTGGTAGCGGCGCCATGTTGGAGCGTCGGGTCTTGGGAAGGCTTTAGGAATGTATGCGGGTTTGTTTGGTATGTGACGAGAACCCGTCAACACGCAGATTTGTGTGGCCAACCTGGATGACGAACTCGAATCGAAGTTGATAAATTGTTTACTTGGGGTTGATAGAAGAAATGTTGTACTCGTAATATCTGCAGAATGAATCTGCAAATTCCTTGAGAGTGACGAGGTGGTTGGGGACTCGCTCACCTTGGAAAATGGGAAGGCTGGGGCGGCGTTGTTTACCATAACAACAGCATCATGGTCGACATCGGCATCGGTGTCAATATCGGCAGTGGCATCGATATCAGCAACGGCAGCGGCAGCGGCATCGGCAATAGGGTAAGGCAGCCAGGCAGCCAGATATCCACACGTGAATATAAACCCACGTGCAAGATGGAAGTTGCCCAACCTGGAAGCCTGGAAGTCCTGAGGTCCTGTGGAAGAAACAAGTCGTCGACTCGTCGTCCTGTACGCAGCGTAAGGTTTTAGCTGGAAAGTTACATTGAAAACCCTATCCCCGCCTCGTCTTTTGGAAGTTGCGGTGACTCTGTCAGACTCCTTTCACCGCTCACCGCTGACCACGGAAAACAGATATCTACCACTCGGTTATTCTTTTAGGGATGATGAGAATCGACTACTTTCTGTGGCACCCAGCTCCAAGGATGACAATCTTCATGAAATCACTGTACTCTCTAAACAGTCGAGCAAAGTATTCTTTCAAAGGCGAAAGAGACCTGGATGTGGCTCGGGTTCGAGGCGGATGGGAGTGGTGACGCAATGGCAATACCGCTGGTGAAAAGTTTGACGAGAGTTTATCTCGTTCCTTGTCGATTGTACCGTTTAAGTTGCGGAGAAGATTATCTCGTTCCTTGTCAATGGTACCGTTTAAGTTGCGGAGAAGACTAACCGAGGACGATTGAATTCTAGAGGTGCTGAAAGTGATTTGTTGGCATTGGGTAGCCTCTTGGGAGAGGGTATTAGCATTGTAGCATATATGTATTCATATTTGTTGTAGACGTTGTCATATCAGGGAAATCACGACTTCTGCGACAGGGACATAGTTACTTGGAGTTCTCTCCTTCTCGCCGCCTTTTCTCAATCCTCAACCGTTTGGAGATCCAGAGTATGATACACAGACTTCGTGGGGGGGGAGATTGATACATAGGTACATACTAGAATAATTAATTACTTAGACTGAATATTTGATATAATCAATTTTTACGAGGCCTCAATCCCGAAATATCAATGCTTCGCACTCACATGCATAGCCCCCAACAACAATGTTGAAGTGATGGCACAGATGTACGAAACTCCAAAACGTATGGACTCGGCGTATCTGTACGTTCTCTATACATTCTCAGATTGCAACTCACCACTTTGATACCATCAGCTATCTTGTGCTGAAAGAAACGAAAATATTACGTTGATAAACGCACCTGGCTCTCCATCTCTTCGTCATAGGCACGCATTTTCTCTCCATGGAGTCATGAGAAGTCTGCTTTGGGGTGGACTTAGATATTTGATGTTGTGAAGACTGTGAGCTCTGGTGTTATGCACTCACTTTCGAAGGAGAGCTCACTAAAAATAGGAAAGAAACCAAGTATCTAACCTCGAAAACTCAACATTCTTCCGATGTCTTCTAGGGAACTCTCATATACTAGGACCAATGCTCCCTCAAACTGAGGTGATCTGTTCTACAATCATATTCAATCCATTAGCCCACTAAACTGACACTTTTTAATTGATGGAGAAAGAGGGTTAGAAAGGCTAGATAGGCTAAGAAGATAGACAGGAGCTAGAGTAGTAGTATAATAATCTAGCCGGTTCAGAAATGGCTTCTCTTCGACTTGAACAAAAACACGAAAATATCACGTTTACAAGTAATAACAAGCTACTTTCTTCCATTCTTGTATTGTTTATAAAAACAATAGTAGCTATAAGACTAAGGGTATAAATGATAGTAAGAATATAAAAGCCAAGGTATAACAGTAAGAGTAGTGTAGTAAGAACCATTCTATAGAAGAACATATACATATGTATAGGTAAAAGGATTGTGATCAAAAGATTGTTGCGCTATACCCCATCTGCTCATTTCCAATCCGTTATAAAGTCTAAACCCAGCTACTTCTAAGTAAGCTCCAATGTCCTCTGCATATTGTGGTTCGCTTAACTTATATCGTAAAAGATACGTCGTCTGTAACTGATCATGGACCAGAGGCACGCTAGTTTACCACTGCATGCCCTGTTGCTCCGTTGGATGGTCCAGAGGCACGCTTGTCTGCCGCCGCACGTTTGACCTTGGTTGCTCCTGCTCGCCTGGCCTTTGGAATTGGATGCCCTTCCCCTGGAGGAAACGGGCCCTCAGCTCGCTTGTTTACCACTGCTCGCTTGGCTAGCCAGCTCTCTTCATACCCGAGATTTCCTGGCCCTTCAGCGACATCTGGATTTGGCCTTACAACATAAGCTCAGAATATAGGACTGGATTAGGAGGAGACGACTTACGAGCGCAATTGGAGGCCCTCAGGTTCAGCGTTCACAGAGAGAACGGAGGTGAGGAGGAGAATGGCGGCTGGGATGTTGAGGAGCTGCATTTTTGTGGCTTGTGTGGATGTGCAGTATTGGTGGATCTATAAGCAATGTCTTGGATGAAATACTTTGCTTATGATAAGTTGCTAGAGAGCTGTGCCGATTAGCAGATATATACATTTTCATTATGAAAAAGTACACTAATTTTTCCTGCTTGTAGTGGGTGCCCAGAGCAGGAGGGTGTGTGACAATTATTGGTTAACTCCGTAGCTTAAGTTTAGTGGCCCGAGAAAACACTATCTTGATTAGTAAAAGGGTTCTACCATCAATTTTTAGTTATAGTTTTGTAGTTGAGTTCGTTCTACTATAAGAAATGGATAAAAACCTAAGCGATACCTTTATAAAAAAGTATATAAAAAATAAGTGGGATCTAGCGTTTAGCATGTGGAATTCTTTTCCATTTTAGTCCCGTTATATGGAATATTCCGTTATATTTGGAATACTCTTTGGAATAATCGTAACTGTATAGTAGAATTATAGAATTCTAGAATTCTAGAATGAAACTACCTAGGACAAGTAGTTACCAGGATGCTTGAAATTAACCTTAGCATGTGTAAACCATGTGTTATAATAATCCGCAAAGTAGATCTCCGAATATACTCTTAACTCTATTAAGCTAAAAGCACGTAATATATCCCGGCTATTTACTCTATCGGGGATATTATATACTATAGCTGTTCGGCTTATATACGCAAGGTAACTAGAGAATACTACTTAGTAAGAGATATTACTTCGTTAGGGGATCTTGCTTAGTTAGGGCCCCTTAAATTAAGCTCTCTTCTTAATTAAAAGGTAATGGAAAAACCCTCTGGAATTCCAAAGTTTCACGGGCCTCTTCTCTAGCAAATTCTATTCCGATCTAAAAGAGGCCTAGAATGTTCCATACAAAATGGAATTCTATACGTTATAGCGCAATAAAATGTAAGTTTTCTAGGGTAGCCAAGGCGATTAACAGGGTAAAACTCACCGAAAACCCCCCATTCTCATTACCCGGGACGAAGTGTATTCTATAACTATACAACTTTAATAGCCTCCGGTCGCTCACTCCGCGACTTTAATAGCCTCTTAGAGTGTAGGCCTACGAGATATACTTTTTCGGGACTTCGCCCACGGCTAGGGACAAAACAGTGTATGGAAGTGAGTTTACAAGGCTAAAGGCTATCAAAGTTATAACGGGATCGACCGGAGGCTATTAAAGTCGTATAATCGTGTTCTACTTATTAGCTTTAGAGTATATATAGTTAAGCCTTTTAAGTAAGGTGTAATTATTAAGAGCTTTTTCTAATTAATTGGAGTATTTAGTATTTTTATAATTAATCGTTTTTTTCTCTCTCGGATTTTTTACCTACCCGCTAAAGTAGTTAGTACTACTATATAGGGCGTATTATAAAGCCGGCGTTAGAGATCTAGATAATTAATAAATTAATGACTAACGGTCGAAAACACTCAATTTTAACTTAAATAACGTGGTTTATCAGCGAGTCGATCATATCACCGAGTCGATCACTTTTTCTTGGCACAGAACTTTACACCTAAATAAATCAACCACAATATATTAAATTAATTATCGCTCTCTATATCTGACGAACTAGATATATCTATAACTTCTTGACAAGTTCGCGCGTTATGACCAGCTTTTCCACAAGTTCTACAGCGCCGCCTAGAAGGTTGCCCCTCCTTATAACCAACCCCCGCCTCACGCATGTCGCGTCGTACTTGCTCATCTACATCCTCCTGAGCTAACATATCCTGTACATCCTCTACTATAAGTGCCCCTCCTTGGCGGACACGAGTCTTTTTAGCCCTACGGCGTTTACTTAGGGCTTCATTTGCAGCGCGAAGGGTACGGACCTCAGCAGACAAAAGGGTCATCTCATGTGCCATTCGCTCTGTACCCTTTGCTAACGCAGCAACTGTTTGAAAAAGTGGAGTTGGCGAGCTTCCTTGATGACAGGCTATACGATTTCGTACAAGAGTTGATTGTGAAAGGGCTTCAGTTGGGTTGGAAGGGGTCTGGGACACCCAGGGGAGGGAGTTGGCACTCACTACACGTCCGAGGGGGAGTTGGAGTCCGTAACCTTACGTCAAGCTTTGAAAGCACTGCTTGCGGGTTAAATGGTACTAGGCCAGCTCCGCGGAATCCAGACTGACAGTTTAGGACTGTCATTGTTTCCTTGTATGCTGCTGTAAAGGCTAGAAAGAACTCAACCTTTGTAATATGGTTGATATGGGCCTTGATAAACGTCTCAATCTGCCGACCATACGCTCGTTTTAACACACTATAGCACCCAACATCAAGTGGCTGGGTTAGATGGGATGAATGGGATGAATGAGGAGGTAGTCCAAGAGTAATAATGTTGTGTTTCGTACAGTAGTCTTGGAACTCAGCCAATTCATGACTCTCGTGCCCATCCAAAACTAGTATTCGATACAGACCCTTTGCACGAGCTGTAGTGTGTTTATCAAAGTGCTTTAACCATTCCAGGC